GACTGATACACACAATCCCACTGGATAGACACAGGGCCAGTTGGATGGACACTGGACCACACAGAAGAGGGAAAAGGCAACTCACCAGGGAAACCACACCTCCAACAACCCTCATGGCCATCTAGCCACATTCACTTCACACTCCCAAAATGAACCATTCAGGCACCATCCTGCCCCACTGTCCTATTTTGGTGATTTCATAATTTCACTACATCCTACAACTCAAAGAAAACATTAGAATCAAGAGGAAGAATTATGGAGCCCAAAATACCAGATATAATTAACTGCACCTTCTAACATGATTATTTCCCTTCCTGACCCCAATTACTCCTTCAGTTTATTAAAGAGAACTCAAATACAGAGCAATGTTAACATGCCAAAGAGTCACATAAACAAGAGAAAAAAGTCTGAGGGTGCCATTACAAACAGAGTTAATGGAACTCCATGATTGGAAATGGATCTTGAAAGCTGTCAGATCAAAGCAAGATCTTCCTCGTGTAAGGGCTGCATTACCCTCGGAGCCACGGCGCTAATACCATCTATAAAAATATTTTGCTCAAATAAGTGAAGAACAGCAGCGTTTCATCTGTCAAAAGGTGCAAGGCTTTTATGGGATTAGCCATTCCACATGCAGCATAAAAATTAGAGCAGATTTTTAAAAGCCCCCAGCTCAGTTGATGGAGACTCCACAGCCCAACGTGCACCCGCTTCCTTTACGTGCACTCCAGGCCGAGCAGATTTTTCACTCCTATTAGCATTTAAGCTTCTTTTTACCTTTTTTTTTTTCAGCCCCTCATAAAAGATTACAAATTGGCATCACCTACAAGCAGCCCCAGCTGAAGTAGCACCACCCAGACTCAAAGAAATTAATATTTTTAAATACCCAACAGTTGCATGAGAAAATCCACCAGAAAACACCAGTTCTCACACAGGAAAGCTTGGAAATTGGAGCGGAATACGCTCAAAACCAGCCTCCAGAGCACGGGCACTGACAGCTTCCCACCCCCCTTAGCAGCAGGATTCCAAAGGCAGCGTTTTGCCCAGACTTTTAAGGCTGCACAAACCTGCTTAGGACGCTTGTGATTTCAAATAATTGCCTACACAAGCTTTCCCTTACCATTGCTGGGAGTATTTTTTATGGCCGTGCATCGGTGGCACACAAATTACGTAACACTTGGCTGAGAACCCTCCGAAAAAGCAGCTCCGTGCCGCTAATCCCTCACGCAGGAAGGAGGAAAATATTTAAAAGCTGCATACAAATCATTCCTGTGAGTGTCGTGCAGACTGGTTTAAATTAGATGGGGGTAAAAATATATGTGAGCTGATCACGAAACCCTGGAATCTTTGCTATGGAGACACCAGTTTCTCTCTGCAGCCTTTTACAACCTAAATGCAGGGAATTCTCCCTGGCGATGGAGGGAGCACACAAGCACCTTTACTAGAGCTCATCAAGGAAATACGAGGAGAATAACAACCCCCATGTAAATATTTTCCAGTATTATTTGCTTTACTGTACTGAAAAGCAGCAGTACCTGCCACTACTTGCTCTGGGTCTACCACCATCAAATCTTAATACCCAGGAGGAATTTCAATCTGTAAGGCAACTGCTGAGCCTGAAATTCAGGTACAGGGCAGGAAGAGGGGCAGGAAGAGGTGCAGACCTCCTAAGAAAGCCATCACTCCATAATTTTACAAAATGTAATTAACCAGCTCTGGCCCTGCGTGTTTCCTTCCCTCAGAGAAGGATTTCTTCACCGAGTAATTAGTCTGTCCCAGTTAAGACTCGAGTCACCACACAACATATTTTCCCCAAAACAAAGCCACATGCACTATTTAAAAAAAAAAAATATTGCCATTTCCTCACAGCCACTTCAGTCTCTTCCTAGTTTTTGCCTTAGTCACCGCCTGGATCTAAAACTCAGTGAAACACCACTATGGGAGCCTCTAAAACCCCAGGTTTATTCCCACACTGAAGACGCTTCATCATTCCACAGCATTGCTTCCTTTTAATGCATATAAAAGCAGGAGGTAAGAAAGAAAACACTCTTAGTACTTCAAACACATGTCCAAAAGCCACAACATAAAGACAAAGAGGGCAGATTAAACACTGTAAAGACACACTCGTCGGGAACCTTCCTTTGAAGTATCTGCAGGAAACACTGTCATCACGCAGCCATGTTACAATTACACAGTTAAAATAATCAGCACCAGTTGTAAGTAGCCCATCTGGTTCCCTGGAAAGGGAACACTGCTGGTACAGTATTGATTAACATGACGAGTCTCACTGACCCCAGAGAAATACATTTGTCTGCTCTGCTGAGCAGCAGAAGAACGCGGCACGACACCACGACACGCTTCGCTTTGTTCATGGGCATTTTGGGGGACTTAGTCCACTAAAACTTGAGTAAAAAATAAAATAATCTTACCAGGTTGGCTACCACACACGAAGAAAGAAATTAAGACAAAGGCGTTTTGCTTTGGGGCTTTCTGTTTTTTTTTTTAGTTTCCTTCCCCCCATCCAAACCCAACCACAACTGGACAATCTGCAGGTTTAAGTCTGAGAAAATGCTGTTGCAACATCATAAAAACAAAAAGCAGCCCATTAAAAAAAAAAAAATTCACCCTGAGCCATGTTTTTTTATGAAATGGAGAGACAGACAAGAGTTCATTTCTAAAAGCAGAAGCAGAACTGAACAGCAGAACCAATTGTGGAACACGAAATGCAACATCTCCAGTTTCCAGGCAGCCGCAGCAGCCGGCGCTGACATGGCCGGGGATTCTCAGCCACTATTTACAGCAGGAATAAGGCAAGTACAGTTTGGAATGAGGGCTCTCCGTGCTCCAGGCCCAGCGTGTTGTTCTCTGCACAGGCAGCTCAGTTTGCAGGAGTTTCACAAACCAGCCCTCGCTGTGACTCAGCTGAGCCTGGGGGTGCCGCAGGCCCCAGCTTGCCGGCCCAGGCTCACAGCAAGCCCTGCTCCGGGCTGGATGTGCCTCAGCAGGTCCGATACCTCCCGTGGGACTGACGAGTTCTCCTGGAAGCAGAGACCCGGAGCCTGGAAACCGCTGAGCTCCACAAACCCGGCACACCTGGGGCAGCACAGACACGGCTTTGGGGACAGACCCTGACCAGCTCTCCCAGAGCCCCAGCGGGCACAGACCACTCCCGAGCCTGATCCTGCACTGCCAAGTGCTTCCCACAGAGAGAAAGCAGGTCACACCAGCAGGGCGTCGTTTGGTGCTCTAAGGAAACACTGTCCCAGAGTTTCCCCACTGAGGCACAGAACTCGGTGTACGCCTTGCTCCACATCACCTTCCAACCCCTTCCACCACCCCACAACCATCTGAGACTGCTCCAACCCAGAATCCGCCAGGAAATCCAGCCTGTAAAAACGCCAACGTTTTCCTTTTTTAAGCTAATCAAGCCAAATATTGAGTTCCCGGTAGGGCACACACAAAGAATCTGCTGGTGTCGTTTGGAAACATGTGAGAGTTAATCTCCTTTTCCCTCTCCAGGACTCCATGGAGTGGTTTTCCCCCACAGAAAAAGGAAATAATTGGAGTGGTTGTATAAAAATGTTCCATTTTATGAACAAAACAAAAAAGGAGAAATACACTGAACTCCAAGTTCCTTAAATTTATACAGATTTCAGGAAAGCACAGGGCCATTAGAGCTGTTTTCACCTAAAAATCTTTGCCTACAGAAGGATAAAAGTGGTGTATCCCCCATTTCAGAAGCCATCTCAGGAGGTAATTTTGCTTCAAGAGCTGCCTGGAATTCGCTCTCTGCCTATAGAGCCGTGTCCCCAGCGGTGAGAGAGCACTTTGTGTACAAAACCAGGAGGGGGGAGGGACCCTTTCCTGCAACTGGATACCAAAACATATCCCCAAGGCTGGGGGAAGAAGCCAAGCCGTAAACACACGGCCCCTGTGCCTCAATGAAGGGCCCGTTTGGAGCTGCACACCCGGACAGCTGCTCCCTCTGGGAAAGGGCAGAGGGCACCGAGGGCTCGGCTCAGCGCGGCTCCCCCCGAGCGCATTTGCCTTTCTAAACATGAATCCGTCCCCGGGCTGGGGGAGGCTCGTCCTGGGCTGCAGCTGTTTGGGGGTGGGAGCCTTTTTTTTTTTTCCCCCTCTCTTCCTTTTTTCTAAGGGGCAAAGGTGTCGAGCGGCCCCTCCCCGGCACACAAAGGCTCCTCGGAGGAGAGAAACAGGGAGCGATTTAAAGATTAAACCGGGGACTAAACCAGACCGGCGGGGCTCGGAGCTCGGGCCCTGCGCAGCACGGACAGGGCTAACGCCTACCCGAGATGATGAAATGGGAAACGGAAATTACCATTTCAGACAACTTTTGGTATTGTTCCTCCCAGCGCAACGCTCACCCCGAAATGCGCTTCCCACCCTCCCCCCCCCGCCCCGCACCTTTGCGAAAAAAACACCCCCGACCCGAAAAAAAAGGGGCGGGAGGGGGGCCGGGACGGCGGGCTCGACACGGTCCCCCGTGATCCTCCCACGGCTCCCCACGAGCCTCCGCACCCCGAAACACCGACCAGCCGCTGGGGTCTCTCTGCAGCCCCCCAAACCACCCCCCGCCCACCCCTCTCCCCCCAGCTTCCTGCAGCCCCCTCCCACTCCCGACCCCCCCCAGGTGTCCCCCCAACAGTCACCCAGCCGCCCAAAGACCGCTCACCTCCTTCGTCACCCCCAAAAAAACGCACATCCTCTTCCCACCCTCGCTGCGGTGCTTCCTCCTCTCACCGCGACCCCCCGCCGGATGCCCTCGACCGCCGCTGACGGTACACCCTCTGACCCGCTGCCGGCGCCCCTGGTGCCCCCACCTCGACCCCAATCCCCCTCGACTCTCCCCTCCCCCCATTCCCGGTGCCCCGTCCCGTCCCCTCCCCGACCGCGCAGCCCCTCTCCGGGACACCCCCGCTCCCTCGTCCCCAGTGCCCTCCGGTGTCCCTCCCCCGCTCCCCCACCGCCCCTCTGGCACTTACCGGCGCTGGGCGCTGAGCGGGCCGAGGGCAGCCCCGCGGCGGAGCGAGGCCCGCGGCTCGGGCGGCCCCGCCGCACGGAGGGGGCGCGGTGCGGGCGGTCCTGGGGCGGTTCGGGGGGTTCGGTCCCGCTCCGGCCCTAGCGCGGGGGGCGCGCGCCGTGGCGGCTCCGGGCCGCGCACTCCATCCCCCGCGCGCCGCTAAGACGGCGCCGCTCATTGGCCCGATGAGACGCCGCCGCCCATTGGCGGGCGCGGGGATGGGGGGGGAGAACCGCAACAGCCCCCCCGCCCCGCGGCGCGCGGGGAGCGATGGGAGCGCGGCGCGCGCGACGTGTCCCCGCGGCGCCACCGCCCATTGGCTGCGCGCGCCGGGCGGCACTTCCGGGGCGGAGCCACGGGAGAGGGAGGGGCCCGGGGACCCCCCGGGATCGGGGACGGAAACAGGATCGGGAATGGGAACGGGATTGAGAATGGGAACGGGATCGGGAATGAGAACGGGATCAGGATCGGGAATGGGAGAGGGACGGGGACGCGCAGCGGGAGCGGAATCGGAATCGGGTCGGAACAGGCCCCCCCAGGGCCGTGTGGGCTGTGCCGGCCCCAGGAGTGTCCCGGGTTTGTGCAGCCTGGAGCGGGCACTCGCGGTGTGCCGTGATCGCTGTGGGCACCGACGTACCCAAAAATCAGTGTCGGGGCAAAGGGCCAGGCTGGGAAACGCGCCAGGGGGTGCTGGGGCACCTCTGCTCCCCGGGGGGCTTTCCCCGGGCCGGGGGGCACGGGGAGGTGGGACGGGACACGTGACAGAGGGCAGGGTCAGATGCGATATTGGGAAGGAATTCTTGGCTGTGAGGGTGGGGAGGCCCTGGCACAGGTTGCCCAGAGAAGCTGTGGCTGCCCCATCCCTGCAAGTGTCCAAGGCCTGGTTGGACGGGGCTTGGAGCAACCTGGGATAGTGGAAGGTGTCCCTGCCCATGGCAGGGGGTGGAACGAGATGAGCTTTGAGGTCCCTTCCAACCCAAACCATTCCATGATTCCATGACTGCAGCGTGTCTGTTTTGTACCACACATCTGCCAGAGCCCCCCAGTGTCACCAGGTAAGCCGAGTTCCCAGGGAGGAATCCCATGCATGGAGCAGATCCTGGAGGCTACAGGGCCCTAGTGTGGAGGCAGCACCAGCACAGCTGTCACTGTCACTATATGTTGGGACTCAGGAAGGGGGACCTCTGCCCTGACCTCACCCAGAACTGTCCTGGGTTTTAACCCCCTTGTGCCAGGAGCAGGGCTCAGATCCACAATGGATTTTTTGGCACTTCGAGTCACTTGGCAACCCCAGGGAATGTGCTCCTGTGCTGGAGGTGCCAGAGTCCCCCAGGAAGAGAATTCCCTGTGATGGGCTCAGCAGGAAGGAAGGAGTGGCTCAGGAGCTTGTGTCCAGCTCTGCTGTTAAATAACAGCAGGAGGGAGGTTTATTCTGAGCCTGTTAAGCTGGTCCTGTGTTCCACTTAGGCTTAGTCTTTTTATCTCTACCCATCTTCCTCCTCTGTAAGACCTACTAAACCAGTCAAAAGAAAGGGTGTTGGGATTTTTGGCTTCCTTTCCATTAAGCTTCTTGTCAGACCTCCCTGAAAACTCTGCAGGTGAGTGTTGGCCTCCGAGCAGAGGGGGAATATGTGTTTTCCTAAATATAGTTGTCTGTAACTGCTTCCTTGGCAACCTTGAATGTCATCCAGGTCAGAGATCCAGCGCTGAGGAGGAAGTTGAATCCTCTCTGTGTCACCCTGACCTTTCTCTATTTGAACACAACAGCCTGGATGCTCAGCCTGGGTCAGGGAGGGGCTTTGAAGTTCTTGGAGAAGGGAAGCTGACAGCAGGAGTGGGGATGATTTCCTTGGGGGCTGCTCTGCTGGTTTTCTGGGTGAGACTTGTGCGATGGGGATGTTTATCCTGCCTGGGTTTGCTACCCTGGGCTGGCTTTTGCTCCTTAATTGCAATACTTAAAAGAGAAAGAAATTACAGTCAATTGTTGAGCACCTTTATCCTTCACTAAAGGTTGTGAGCTCTTAAATCCTAAAATAAATACCTTGGTGCTGAAGAGGAAAGAGAACATTGTGTGAGGGCAGGGAAATGAGGCCACTTGGGGAATGTGCTTTCAGGCCTATTTCTGTCTGTCCCAGCAAGCTCAAAGGACACCAACTTCAGGGACAGCACTCTGACCCTCCAGGCCTTGCTGTGGGACTCCTCCTTGTCTCATCTGGAGTTGGCACTTGGATCAGACCCTCCCCTGCTCTGGCACCTGTGAGTGACCAAACCCATCTCACTCCTCCAGCAGAGCTCCCCCGGAGCTTTACAGCAACTGTCTCGTGAGGGAAGGATCTGTTATGTCAACCCTAATGTCAAAAATTCCTGGTCTGTGCTACTGTGGGTGCAGTTCCCTGCTGACTCAGCTCCTCTCAGGATGAAGGGGTGGGAATCTATTTTTAATAGATGAGACAAGGTGTGATTTATGACTAGTACAGGGTAAATCCTGTGTGACCAGTCAGGTGCCAATATCAGAGGCCAAGAGTATAAAACTTCAGAAGAATTTTGATTAGAAAAATCTTTACTTTAAGCTTGGCTCATGTTTTAATTAATGTCATCTATTAACATTTTGAAGAGTGATAGTTTTGGCAAAGCAAGCAGCCATTTGGGAAGGCAGCAAGGAGTGCAGCTGTTGTACTGCAGCAGGAACCTCCCCGCCTCTGCACACGCTCAGTTTTACTAAATAAAACCATTTTAAAGCCATCTGTGTATTTGCTGTTGTTGTTAAGGACACTCCAATTTAAGCTGTTCCATGATGTGCTGCCATTAACAAATAAAAGTCTGAGTTTTCACCTGCTTTACAAAGAGGTCGTTTCTCACAGCTCTGTGAGATGTGATTATGGCTAAACTCATGCACAGCTCACTTGTACCTAAATCTGCCTTCTTGTGAAGGTTTAACTGCTTGGTACAGCTCACTCATCCCCAAATGAGCATTTTGAAGGTTTAACTCCTTGGTACAGCTCATTTGTCCCCAGATCAGCATTTTGAGGGTTTAACTCAGTGCAGCTCATTTGTCCCCAGATCTGAGTTTAACTCCTCGGTGCAGCCCACTGTGCACCCAGCTGAGTCCCAGGACTGGGAGCAGGACTGGTGGAGCTGATTCAACTCCTGTGCCCGCACAGCAGCAGCATTTTTGGACCCCACAAAGCTCAGAGCTGCTGCGGTGGTGGATGAAGTGTATTTACATAGCTCCCAACAGGACTTACACCTGTGTGAAGAGTAAGTCCGTGGAGCTCTGTGCCTGGTGCATCCACAGAGGATGGATTCCGAGGGAAGTGCTCCCCTGCTGCTGGGTAAACACCTCGTATTGATGTTCCAGGTGCGAACTCGTGACAGCCCTGTTCTAATTACTGTTTTTATCATTCCTAATGACAGGCTTTAGGTTTCCAGGCTGCTTATGGATTTCAGGGGTGTGGAGTGACAGTTGCTCAGTGACCTCCTCCAGTGTGCAGGGTTTGGAGATGACTCCAGCCACCTCCCGCACACAGATGGGTTCCTGGGCTTCTCCCAAGCTCCACACGCTCCAGCAGCTCTCCAGGGAGTGCCCTCCTGCTGAGCAATCTGCTCTGAGTCACAACCCAGCTACTCCCTCCCCCTGCTCTGCCCCTTGCCCGTGTCACTCAGAGCATTGCTCCTTCCCTGTGCTGGCTTTTCCGGCAGTTTCTGAGCCCCGGCTGGCAGACGGTGCAGTGGAGCCCCCGTGATCCCCTGCCTCCAGCCATCTGTCACCTGCCTGTCCTACACTCCCGGGGCTTTAGAGGTGACCCAGAGATAGATTTGTACCCCAGCATCGTGTCCCGGGTTCGCCCTGGGCTGGGGAGCCTCCGTGCCCCAGGGAGGAACATTGTCAGTGCCATGCTGGCCTCTCTAACAGCAGCAGGAAGCACTGGCAGTCACCCTGATCCCAAGCTGTTCCTGGAGGAAGGAGTAGGTGTGAGCGGTTTGGACTGGCTCATGCAAAAAGGCTGAACAAAGCTTTCCTGGTGAGGAGTTTCACTGTGCTTGAGGAAAAACCATGTAGTCTTTTAAGCACATCCTTTGTTCCCAATCCTAAGGTTTTCCTGGATACTTGACGTTGCTGTGCTGAAGGGGAACATCTATCCCTTGACTTTGATTTGTCATCTGCAAAGAAATAATCTAAAAATCCCTGACAGAGATGCACTGTGCCAGGGGGTGCTAGAACATTCCAGGGACTCTGAGCCTGTGCAGACCTGGGCGGTTTGTCCTGCTGGAGCAGAGTCCTGCCTTAGCTGTTGGTGGGGCAACAGGGCGGTTTTTCATCCTTTAAAAAGCCCGAATTTATCTTCCAGCAGCTTCAGCTCTTCATTTAATCCTTTGACTCGTTTGTGAGAAGTCTGTGGATGGTGCAGTGGCCACCTGACTCCAGGTATTCATTCCCTCCATTGGCAAAGTGCTGTGTGGAAATGAGTAAGGGATGTGGAAATGGGCTGGGGGGGTTGAGGATCTTCCTGAGCCCTGGGGGGATGAGAGCAAGAGGGACGAGAGTGTCTTACAAGGAGCATGGGAATAGGAGAGGTGAGTTCTCAGACAGAGCAGGGCTGTGTTTGCTGTGGAAACTGATTCTCTTGGCCTGAAAAAGACAAGCTGTGCCTGCTAATTCTGCTTCCTGCTCCTAACCTGCTCAGGAGATAAACCAGGGATTTCAGCCTCCAATCCAGCACCTTTCTCCGGTAGTAAATACACGTGGCATTACTGAGTGATGTCATGGCTGGAGCACATCCCAGCAAGGCCAAGCCTGGATCAGGTTATATCTGTCCTCTCAGAATATTGGCTTATTCCCAAAGGAGCATATTGCCAGTCCAAGGGCAGTGAGTGGAGCCACCTTTCCCAAAGTCACCTCTGGCACACACAGAGGGACAGCCCTCACTCCTGCAGCGCAGCCTGAGCCACCCACGCAGGGCAGAACCTCCTGACTCTCCTTTCTAGAGTCACTTTGTGTTTGCACCAGCGAGGCAAAGACCTCCAGCCTTCCTTCATGGAGTCATGGAATGGTTTGGATTGGGAGGGTTAAAGCCCAACTCGTTCCACCCCCTGCCATGGGCAGGGACACCTTCCACTAGACCAGGTTGCTCCAAGCCCCGTCCAACCTGACCTTGGACACTTGCAGGGATGGGGCAGCCACAGCTTCTCTGGCCAAACTTATCATCTGGTTGCCTTTGAGGCACAGTGTGAAAAGAGGCATAGAAATCCTGTCAGCTCCAGCTATGTGGTGTGTCTGTAAATAACCAGCACTCCCAGTTCAGCACAGCTTTGTCACATCCAGGGCTGGATCTCCTGGCTGGGAGTGTTGCAGCAGGAGCTCAGCTGCCCAACAGACCTTAGACACTGCTTGTATCCTCTTCCACCCCTGGAAGGGTTCAAAATATATGTGGATGTGGCACTTCATGATATGCTTTAGTGGGCGTGGTGGGATTTGGTCAAAGGTAGGCGATCTTAGAGGTCTTTTCCAACCTTACTGATTCCATGATTGCTTCAGTCAAGGACCCTCCCAGCCCCAGCTGGAGGTGGTCTGTGCTGGGATTGGGCCTGTTCAGTTTCCATTGCCCTCCATTGTTGAAAAGGTGGGAGTTTGTCCTCGCTGGAGCTGAGCTGTGAGGGAGGTGTGGAGGAACCCAGCTGTCTGTCCCTCAGGTCAGCAGTCCTGGCTCAGCAAACTCACCTCCTGAAATGGTGCCACTCCTTAAAAAAAAATCACGCTTAATTAGCAACAGGTCTCCTGGGAAAATGCTGGAAATGAGGTGTGACATACCTGGAGTGAGATGGCAGCAGGGATGTGTGTGGAGCTGGCACCCACAGGGCTGGGGGTCCCACACCCCTCAGCTCCTGGCACACTGTGCAGTGGTTGCTGTATCTGTGTTTCCCACTGGAAAACTGTGCCTCTGCTAGAGGGAACCTCCCCCATTTGGCATTACCAAAGGAGTCTTTTTCTCCTCAAAGTGTAGCTGAAGGGTCAGTAACCTCCCCATGGATCCTGCTGCAGGTGGGTGAGGAGGTGACACTCACCTGGGCTCTGGGAGCCTCACAGGGACCAGCCTGGGCCGGGACAAGGGACAGAGATCCCTCCCCAGGCAGCTCAGGTGACCCTCTCCTCCCAGCCTGGGAGCAGTGCAGTGTCCCCGGGCATTCCAGGTGGGATCTGTGGGTGGAGGTGCACCCGGCTGCCACATCCCCGCAGAGCTGTGACCAGCCCTTACAGACTAATTGGCACCAGTTTAATTGTGTGCCTGTAAATTGAGCTGTTTGACCCAGACAGTGACAACAAAGGGACTTGCAGAAGTGAGGGGACATTAACGTGCCAATGGACCTTGCTGGGGGCAGGTGACAATTAACATCCTAAAAGATTCTTCTGGAAAGAGGATCCTAATTCAGACCTGCTGGGGAGGAAGATGATTAGTTACTATTACAACAACGACTATTATTATCATTATTATTTTCTGTAGCCCTGCAGCCTCCCATTCAAAAATGCCTGAGAAACTTTATGACAGGTAATTTAGGAGAACTAACAGCAGTTATACTAAAAACTGTCCCGGAGCCACCTGGGGGGAGAAACATGGACAGGAGGGAGGAGAAAACACTGCAGAAACCATCCTGGTCAGCAAGATGGGAGAGGAGAAGGAAACACAAACTTCCTAGGAAGGGGAGATCAGACCTGTAGGCCTGGCAAACACAATATTCCTTTCAGTCAGGCAAGAAAGTGCAATTGTGGCAGGAGGGAGGTGATGTTTGCTCCCAAATGCCCCAGAGGAACTGCACAGGGCACTGAGCCCACCCAATCCACTGTGCACAGGGTAGGACAGGAAGGGATTACACTGGATTTGGGATCAGGGACTTAAAATACAGCGACCTCGACCTCTGTGATCGCTGTGTGAGGGGAACTCACCAGTGCTCGTCCCTTGGCATGCTCGGGGTCACTGACTCACACTTCGAGTGCTGTGTCCAGTCCTGGGCCCCTCCAGGACAAACACTGATGGGTTGGAGCATGTCCAGAGAAGGGAACAGAGCTGGGGAAGGATCTGGAGCACCAGGAGGGGCTGAGGGAGCTGGGGAGGCTCAGCCTGGAGAAGAGGAGGCTCAGGGGGGTCCTTCTCACTCTCCCCAACTCCCTGACAGGAGGGTGGAGCCAGGTGGGGTTCAGGCTCTGCTCCCAGGGAACAAGGGAAGGATGAGAGGAAACGGCCTCCAGCTGTGCCAGGAGAGGTTCAGGTTGGACATCAGGAGGAATTTCTTCCTGGAAAGGTCTGTCAGGCATTGGAAAGGGCTGCCCGAGGAGGTGGTGGAGTCCCCATCCCTGGAGGTGTCCAAGGCCAGGTTGAACAGCACTTGTGGCAACCTGTGCCAGGGCCTCACCACCCTCACAGCACATATAATGCATATATTTGTTCCCTCACTTTCCCTTTCAGCACAGTTCTCAGTCCCTCACTCCCACTGCCGGTTTCTGCCAGAGCCCACTCCTACCTGGGGCTGTCAGAAGGGGCACCTTCCTCAGGGACAGCTGCACAGAGAGGGAGCTGGTCTCGTTCCTCTCTGCTCAATCTAACACTGCAGGGGTCGTTTCTTCCCTTCCCTGCCGACACACTTACGTGGGGTTAGAGAGATAAAATCCCAGCACTCAGTGCTCACACCACGCCACTCCAGTGCCCGGCCTCTGCAGTGCTTGCCGCGGCCTCTCCCCTCTCCCTGCAGGAACCTTCTCGCTCCTCCTAGGCGTTGTTTCTCCTCCTGCCTAAATATTTGGGGGCCGGGCCGGGCCCTGCCTGCGCTGCAGAGCCTGGGCAAGGCCGGGCTAGGATAGAACGGCGTGCTCCAAGGGACGGGGCCGGGCCGGCCCTGGCCGGAGTCTCGCCCGTAGCCCGCTCTAAGGGCGGCGGGCCCAGGCCAGGCCCTGGGGCCGAGTCAGGCCTTGCCCGGGTGCTCAGACCCGGCCGACCCCCCCCTGTTGCCCCGGTAACGGAGCGACCTGTCCCGACATCCCCCGCGCGGCACCGCCCAGCCGCCAGCCATCTTGAGGGCTGGCAGCGCGGCGCCGCCGGCCCGCTTCCAAGATGGCCGTCCGGCCCTCAGCAGGCACTTCCGGCCGCCCCTCAGCCGCGGTCCCGGTGGTGCCGCTACGGCTCGTCTCGGGCCCGTCCCGCCCGTGAGGGCTCTCGGGAGCGGCACCCGCCGACATGACGCTGCTGCTGCGACTGGGGCTGCTCCGCGGCCGCTGCAGCTGTTGGAGACCGCCCGCCGCCGCCTGGGCTCGGCCCCGCGGCGGTACCCTCGGCGGGGGACGCGGCCTGCAGGTAACGAGACCTCACCGAGCACCGGGGGAGGAGGAGAACGGGGCGGGAGGGACGTTTGGCTGTTCGGGAGGGTCCTCAGGTTGTGCCATCCCGAAGGTCGTCGTGTCAGCGCTGTTGGGCAGCGACTTGGGAAACACCGTGGGAACCATGGAATGGTTTGGGTTGGAAGGGACTTTAAAGCCCGTCTCATTCCAGCCCCTGCCATGGGCAGGGACACCTTCCACTAGACCAGGTTGCTCCAAACCCCATCCAGCCTGGCCTTGAACATTTCCAGGGGTAGGGCAGCTACAGCTTCTCTGGGCAACCTGTGCCAGGGCCTCCCCATCCTCACAGCCAAGAATTCCTTCCCAACATCTGATCTAGCCCTGCCCTCTGGCAGCGGGAAGCCATTCCTCCTTGTCCTGTCACTCCAGGTCCTTGTCCAAAGTCCCTCTCCAGCTCTCTTGGAGCCCCTTTAGGCATTGGAAGGGGCTCTGGGGTCTCCCTGGAGCCTTCTGTTCTCCAGGTGAACACCCCTAGCTCCATCCCCCGACCATCTGACGATATGGAGGGAAACCAATGTGGGATGTTGTTTCATGCCAGGTTTTTCTGGCATCAATTTAAATCTTAAGCTGTTCTGTTCTAGAGAGCATCAATCCCAAGGTTGCCATCTTGCCCCAGCACAAGCTAGAAAAAAAGGGGAAAAACTGGTGAAGGGTTTCAGCCTGGTGTAGGAACTGGAACCTGTGCAGTGGAGGGGAAACAGGGAATCACATCGGAGAAGGGCCAGACTTTTATTCAGTGAGAGAATTAGTAAATATTAGTTCCAATGTTCTTGAAGTTGCCTTTAAATGTGAATATGCACTGCAGGATTCCTGTTGAGTTTCCTTCAGGGATACAGGAGGGTTAGAAATCCTTAAAATTTCCTTTTAAAAGTCCTTTTTTCCTTAAAAAACTTCCTCCTAAGGTAGGGAAACTTAACGTTTTAAGAACTGATTTCTAACATACCTTTAGAATGAAAAACAGAGATACAGGAAGACTAAATATTAAGTGTTTTGAGTATGTGTTTGTGTTTATACCTGTGCTTTCTTTAAACTGGGTTATAAACAACATCTCCAAAGTCATGTGGGGAGTGCACAGAACAACCAGGAGTCACATCCAGGGCTCCCAGCTGCTCTCCTGACACTCACCCACAACATTCCCGTGCTTAGGAATGTGAGTCTCAGGGAATATGGAGGTTGAGCCCTCACAGCACTGTGCCAATGGTTGTGTTGTTTTCCTTTCTCTCCTCCCTCAGACTCTCTTGGCACAAACACTTTCCCCCCCACGTCAAGGTCTTGGTGGAGTCTTGATGAAACAGCACTTAATCCGAGATCCAGTCAGACTTTGGAATCTCCTGGGTGAGTCCTGAGGAGGAGGAAGGGAAAAGGTCTGATTTGATAAGAGAACTGACCTTTCCTAACCTTCTCTCTGCCTTCCCAAAACTGCAGCAGAGCTGTTCTGTTCCTGGCTGTGGGAGCTGGGGGTTTTTGCAGGGATTTAGGGTTTGGTTTGGTGACAGGGATGAACAGTCCTTCCCACAGGGAGCTCAGGGGATCAAGGAAGCACCGGAGTCGTTAGACCTACAGCTAATTTTAAATCTGCATATTTTAAATTAGAGAATCTTTGTCTTCCTCATCAGCAAAGCCCCAGACAAAAACATCTTCACTTTTGTCTGAAATCCCATTGGATGGCCTTGCTGGAAACCTTGGAGTCATGGAATGGTTTGGGTTGGAAAGGACCTTAAACATCATATTCCAAACCCACTGCCATAGGCAGGAACACCTTCCACTAGACCAGGTTGCTCCAAGCCCTGTCCACACTGGCCTCAGACACTTCCAGGGATGGGGCAGCCACAGCATTTCCTGAGCAACCTGATTTAACTCCAGTACCTGTTTTTCCTTTAATGAGCATTTCTAGTCCCTGGTATGGGGCTGTTCCTATCTTCCCATTCCAGTGTTAGCCATGGTTCTGCCTTGGGAATTGTGTCCATTTTTCAGCACTAAAGCAATTTCTCCAAATTATTTCTGCCATGCCATTAAAACAATCTCTGACCAAAAAGATGTTGTTTGTATTGTAAAAAATATATACATTCTATAAGGGAACAGAAAGAGTCCCCCTCAAGTGAGGCTGTCCCGGTTCCTTGGCACACGAAGCTCTTTGCCTGGGGGAATGTGGAGCTTTGCCTCCTCTGCCTTTGGAGCTCACCTGGATTTCTGCCATCCTCAGTCACCCTCTCAGTGCCCTCAGCAGTAACCACTGACCTCTGCTTGCCTGCAGGTAGCACCTACTGGTTTACTACTTCCAGCTCTTGGAGGAGTAGCCAGAAGGATGGAGGATCCAAGAAGAAATCTCCACAAGAGGAGGACGGTATGTGTGTGCCAAAAAGAGATTTACCGAACCAAACTCTGTGTGTGTGAGGGGAAGGGGCAGACAGGGAGGGAGATCCACCTTCCTGCTCCTGCCTCTGGGTAGTTCCCTGTACCTGTAACTCACCACTTGTACAATCTGTGGCTAAGAGCGAGTTTGAAGGAGTATTTTGGCATAGATGATGGACTGTAGGATTTAAATCAGATCATAGAAATTATAGAATCCTGGAATGGTTTGGATGGGAAGGGACCTTAAAGCTCATCCAGTTCCAAACCCTGCTATGGCTCCAGACCTTTGTACTGTGAGTTGGGAGGCACTTAATGTCATGCTTAAGTGACACAGGTTGTAATAGAATTTCATAATTTATTTTATAAACCTTTCCCTGGGTATCATCACGTGACGTGAGCAGTTGCCTTTTCCTTTGTTGTGCTTAATAGTCAAATTCTCTTGGACTTTTTACTTTTTAAATGAGAGGTCAGTTGCTGCTGCTGGCAGCCTGGCTGGTGTCACTACAGTGTCCTTAAGGCCACAGCAGTGGCTTTTCCTGCTTGATCATTTAACTGGGATGAAGTCTGCAGTGAGATGTGAGTGCAGGTATCATGGAGTCCTTGGGAAGGAAGTTGGAGTTTGTTGCCCTTGGTGTGCAAGGCCACAGAATGACTGAGCACAGCCTCTGGAGGTGTTGTAGCTGTTAAAATGAGTAAACAGCAACGCTCCATGTTCAGTGGCCTCTTTTCTCCTGTGATTAATGGATAGCCTGGCTTTGGGAGCAGGAATGCTGCCCCATGTCTCCAGGGGAACACTTGTCTCTGCAGTAATTATTAAAAAGAACTCTTCAAACTGTCACCACAGCGCTTGCAAAGATTTTAATCAGAGAGTTCAGATTTGGGGTTAATGGCAAATCATTGCTTGGTGGAGGCTCATGGAGACTCAAAAGCTGGAAGTATTCCCACAGCTGTTGCTTGCAAGTGTCACATCCAGTCGCTGGGACTCATTTCCTGAATACTGTGGGGCGGCTTGTGGTACAGTGTGGATGTTGTGCTGTACAGGCAGTCACACTTTACCTCAGCTGAGAAAGATTGATATTGTCCTTAATTAAATGCAGAGTTGAGGAAATCTTGGTGTTGCCTTCCAGCTTTCTAGAAATGGAATTTTCCCCTGAAATTACTCAGCTGCAGGTTAAAGGTCCTAGACAAGTCTAATTCCTAGAAATAAGGGAAGTTGTGTCAGGATGTCTGATGGGCAGCTCTCCCCCGGGGTGATGTTTTTGTGATTACACCCCCAGTTGTGTGTGTTTAGGGCAGGTTATGGGCCTCCACTTGGTCTGAAATGTAATACGGAAAAGTGCTTTAGCAGGAGTTGACTCTGACACCTCCAAGGAACTTGCACAGCCATAGATGGACTTTTCCTGTCAGAACTCACTTTTCTGCAGTAGTTTCTTTTCTCTGTAGAATCTTTTTATTTAGAACTTGCTGAGCTTTTCAGGATGTTGCCCAGACTATTCCTCTATCATTCATAGATATAGATACATATACATATCTATATATATAAAAATTGTCTTTAATAAGACTGTCAAGGATGTCATCCTGCAGCTTTGGGATGAATTCCTTAGTCCTAACAAAGCTGGATCCAGCAGATAACACAGAGTGAGGGGATGGCAGTGGAGAACAAAGGGGGTGGGCTGGACGCGGTGTCTGAGCTTGTCACGGCCTTCTGAAATGATGATTTCTCTGCCAAGCTGCTTTGTGTCTATTTAGGAACAGGCCTTTCCTTTCCAGCATGGAGCAGAGCTGGGAACCAGTGAAAAATGATGCTGTGCCTCTGAAGGACAGAGGACTTTTTTTAGCAGCTGCCTGGGTCATATGTTTGTCCCTGGGTTTTGTTGCCGCGTGCGTAGGGTCTAATTGGTGGCCGGTGATAAATGCTGGTGTCAGGACACTGGTTACGAATTTGCAAATAAATCGAATCTGGGCTGCAGCACTGGTGCATTAGAGCCCAGTGGCACAGAATTAATTTATTTCTGGGTGTAGAAGGGTATTTATGTGTGCCGTGGTGGTAGTGCTGTTAAATTGTATATCAAGAGCAAGTACTAAATTATATATTGGGAACACTCACGTGACTGGAAAGAGGAGGAGATATTTGTTGTCATCTGAACAACTCAAACACTGACCAGCAGTGACATTGAACTGAGCTGTGGCAGTCCTTTACAGCCCATAGAATTGTAAATTTGCCTGTGCAGTGCAAAAAAAAAATGTTAGGAGACTGGAGAAAAGGTTTGGTGGCAAATAATCAAAGTAGAACATCCCTTTTCCTTGTGTCATTGCTTCAGTGTGGCACTAGTACAGTAAAGGCAGGGAAAGCATATCCAGTATGGGAATTTCTCTTGGGTGCAGATCCTTAATGTGGGCAAGTTATCAACCCCTTTGAAACATGAGATGAGTTGTATAACATGGAGGAAAATCTGGGCAATTTGGTTAATAGGCAGATGGATTTGCAGTGTATTTGTGTCCTGTGCTACCTCACATTCTTTGCAATTGCAGGTATTTCCTGAGGTAGGGGCAGTGGTGTTGGTGTCACGGTGCTGGTGCCAGCAGGTCATTGAATTGTGCTGTGGGATTTACCAGTGACGCTGGGTTTACTCCTAATATTTCCCATTAGCCTGAGGACTGGGTGGTGTGGACCCATGTTATATAAAGTGGGTTATAATCATTCTGGAGTTTGATTCCTAACAACAGGAGTCCCCTGGCTTTATTCGACCCCCGTCCATATGGGGCCAGGCAAGTGAGAGTCTCTCGTTTTGAACTGGAATGATATTTGGTGGGATTTTAGTGGGTTTGGTGCACTAGGACCATGTGAAGCCCAGTCCTGCAGGAGAAACCAAACATGCAACACAAAAACCCTGACAGGTTCCATTGCATTAATCTTTGTCATTTAATTATCTCTTCTTTGGATCAGAAAGCTTCACAATTACATGTCTATCTTTTTTCCTCTGGATCTTTCTTCTTAAGAGGAGGAGAAACGCAGGAGAAGAGAAAATCAGATGCACCTGGAACGTCTGCGGGCACTGCTCGTCCTCACCTTCATCGTGCTGATGCTTCGGTTCCTGGTCAGCGAGAACAGGGAAGGCACCAACATCTCCTGGAACTACTTTGTGAATGAGATGTTGGCCAAGGGGGAGGTGCAGAGGATCGAGGTGGTGCCAGAGAGTGACATCGTAGAGATCTACCTGCACCCAGGAGGAACTCCCCATGGACAAGTTGTGAGTGACTTTGTACACAAATTTGCTCTTCTCTGATTCTTTCTTTCTTGTATTTGAAGTTCAGGGGACTTCTATTACTCATATCAACCTGGAAATTAGGACTTTTAGTTCAAATTGTAAAAATAATCAACAATGGTCTGGGAAAAAAATATTTTGTATGTCTAAAAAGCTGGAAAATTCAATCGTTTTTTCAGTCAGATATAGGAGAACATGTCCAGGAGATTGTAAACTCTTATTACTGGATCTTCTTTTGAAAGTTTTCTCCTATTTGGATTTTAGTTTTGAGTGTTCTGTCAAACTCCAGCCTTCCTTCCTAAACCTTCCAAAATGGAAACAAAGCATTGTGTTTACATCCAGGAGTTACCACTAAGAATTGTTACAAACTGGCTTGAGACATTAAAATACTGAAATGGAATCATGGAATCACAGAATGGTTTGGGTCAGAAAGGATGTTAAAGATCATCCAGTTCCACCCCCTGCGGTGGTCAGGGAACCAGAACAGGGAACTGGTTTTGGATACATCTTATTTCGTTTGCATCTCCTTGTTTATAGAGAGCTGAGGCTTAGTTCCTGACTTGTATGCTTTCATAAGGTGCTGGAAAGACCAGAGGGTTCCTAAATTCATTTGGAGTCCTCTGCTCGTGAGTTCATAGGTGCAGGATCAAAGGGTGTAACATAAAGATAATTTTTCCCTGACCTGTCAGTGCTGTGCACCTCTGCTCCTTGCTTATGTATTTATACCTAATCAATAGTACTGACCTGCTGCTCTGGCCTGCCTGTCCCCAGAACGTGACCCTGCTGTACACCATGCGTGTGGCAAACATCGACAAATTCGAGGAGAAGCTGAGAGCTGTGGAGGATGAGCTGAATATTGATGAGAGAGAGAGAATCCCCATTTCCTACAAACACCCTGGCTTTTATGGAAAGTATGACATAAATTTGTCCTTACTGTGTTGGTGACAACATCCCTCGCTTGGAGGGGAAAGTCACTTTCAGCTTAATGTTATGTAAATATAGAGCAAAAATGTGGGCTCGGATTTGGAGCATTTAATGAATATTTCTGAAAGATAAGGTGCTCTACATATACCTTAATGTTTCCAAAATGAGGGTCCCAGGAAAGTGTCTGGATTTGCAGGATGCAGCAGACAAAATATTTTGGGTTAGAGTCACCAAGCATTCTTGCCCAGCTGAGCACTTTTTGTCCTTATAATCAATTATTCAAGTACAGAGTGTGATTAAAAAATCCTGACACAAGTGATGTTACATCTTGGTCTGTGCAGAAGGCTAGGGGTGCACTGAAATGCTTCCAGGGAGGCCTGTGGTGGTTCAGGCTGTAAAATTAAACAGTTTTGGCCTGTTTGTCCCAGAGCTGCAGGTCTGACCACAGCCTATTCTGGTGCCCCGTGCTGGGTGGAGCAGCTTTGGTGCCAGCACACCAAACCTCAGTGAGAGGAGCATTTCTGCTAAACTTACAGCCCTTCCTGCTGCCCAGACGAAGGACCTTTGCTTTCAAAAAAATGCTCAATACTTTTAATTCTGAAATAAACTGTTAGGAGCAAGAAGAGTGAATAGCAGATCTCACCTGCTGAAGTGGCCTGGTCACCTGCTTCTGCACCAGGCAGAGCGTGTCACATGCTGTTAGTAGCTCAGAGGATTTGGACGTGGTGATTTTCCCTCTGGAGGTGGCCAGTGTGTGTAATTCCTCCTCCCAGGCATCTTGCCAAAGTGTGAAACAATGTCATGTTTGTGTGCGAGTGGATACCTGGGCTGGATTTTGTCTGGTACTTGTCCTCTGATCAACATTTGCACATTTTTAATATATAGTTTATATGACGATAAGCTTTTTTAATTGATCGTGCAGTACAAGCCCTTTAGTTCAAACTCAGAACTTGCTAATTTTTTCAGACTTGTGTGTAGCAGGAAGAGAGGACTGAACAGACAATCAGCCACCAACACAAGCTGTTTCCCTGCCCCTCCAAAGAGATTTAAAAAAAATTTTTAAGGGTTGTGATGAGGTGTGAAGTCTCTCAGGAGACCTGATGAATGTCTGGAGAATTCAGAGTCAGTCTGGAGTTTGAATGTGTGAGGTGCAGAGCCCTTGGACTCGGCTCACTCTGCAGTGTGGGTGCTCAGGGTGTTTCAGAATTAATCCTGTTTGCAGAGCAGACAAACTGAAGGTGACTTTCAGGTTTCAGTGTTACCTTTGGATTTCTCACTGAGCAGAAACAAATGCAGCTGGGTATAGAGCATTCTGGTCCCTTGCTTCAGTAAATCGTCCCTCTGTGAGAGGCGGAACACGCGTTCCTGGTGTAAAGATAAGGCACAGAAGTCTGGAGAGGGTGGATGATTTCACAGGCGTGTGGAGCAGAACAGGGGCCCACCAGTTTCAACCTGTCATCTGACATGGGATCATTTTTTGTGCTCTTGGGGCAGCCTTTGTTTAGAGCTCAAAAAATATTTATCCTCAACATGTTTGTCCTGTAACTGTGTTAGACTGGAGTGTCATCTCTGCTCCTCATCTCCCTCCTAATGCAATGGGTATTCCAAAAGATCCGGAAAATTGACAGTGTTGGTGCTGGAGCAATTCTTTGTGCTGTAAAGGACTCCTGAGAGATTCGACCAGGGAGGACAGGGCAGGCTCTTAATGGGAGACCAAGCCTGGAATTGCTGCCAGTGTGGGATTAAGTGAGTTGGAATCTCCCTAGTGTTACCAGACACAGGTCTTCTGCAGCAAGCTCCCTTTGGATGCACTGCCAGCCCCGCTGGATTCTGCTCTGGGTGTGACCTGACTGCCTGAAGGTGCTGTTTGTTTTAGAAGTAGAAATGCCTCTGAAGGGGATGGTGAGGTTGAATTCCTTCCACAGCTGTAGGCAGTGTTTGCCAGTGTCCTCTGCTTAACTTCTCACGTTATGTAATAGTTGGGGTATGGGGTTTTGTATATCTGTATAAAAGCCTGTAAAAGTTCCATTTTCTTAGTTGTGTCTGCTCATAGCCTAAATGGCAGAACATTTAAACACTGAAAATAGCCATGTTGGGGAATATTGACCAGGTTGTGTCTGAATACTTCAGTTTGTACCTGTCTTTGTCCTTCTAGTGATGTCCTTTCCCTGATAGTGACATTGGTGGCCGTGTCCATGCTGTGGAGCATCTTCCGCCTCTTCAGGGTGGCGAGTCGGGCCGGAGGGTTCAACGCCTTCGTGAGTAGCCTGGATTTTGAGGATGTTTTGCAGCCTGCGGGTAGTCCTGGCTTCTGCTGGGCTATCTCCTCCCCTTTTTCCCAGCAAAGTCAGTGCAGGATAAGGGTGAAGTGGTGCCCAGGACTCTCCAGTCTTGCCACATCTTGCATCCTGTGCTGATCATCTCCCTGGCTGGTACTTTAACTGGCCTTAGCCGAGATCCGTTCCCTTCCCAAAGGCAGGAAGGGCTGAGCTCAGGGAATTTCAGTCCAGTTTGCTGTTTTCAAAGCTTGCTAATGAGCTGCAGCTGCAGATGGTGTTTTTCACTGGGCCCTGCCAACATGCCTCCCATACAGCCAGAAGTAGGAATTGCTGCTTTCTGCAAAATGAGTTCTCAATTTATAAAATATGTTCAGATTCTGGAGTTCATTATGTGTTGGCCTGTTCCGTTCCTGCCGCATGTCTCGCTTGCAACATCAGGCAAACCTCCTCCTCCCCTCTCCCACTCTGGCCTGGATCAGCTGATGAAAGTGCAGGAGTCAGCCCGGGGTGCTCTGCCACTGACCACAGGGACTGGGGATGAAAACACAGTGAATTCAGCCCCTTGTTGGATTTCCCACTCAGTCTCCTCCGCAGTTCTCTTTGGCTTTGAAATCCTCTTTGAACAAAAGGATGCAGCTGCTCTCAGAAAGAGTATTTCAAAGAAGTGTTGAGTAATGAGGCCTTGAGGACTGGTTTGTGTCCTTGCCTAAGTGGGGACAGCCAGGCCCCAAGTTTAACTCTTTCTTTGGGTATTTCAGAGGCCTCAGAAGCTGTAAACTTTCTTGTGAAAGAAAAAGCCTGTTTTGGGTAGAACATGCTGAGCAGTTACGAGTAGGATGTTTAACTGAATTCTTGGTTTGACTCTCACTGTGGCTTCACATGCACCAGGGGACGGAAATGTGGTGGCTGTTCAGTTTGAGAACCTCTAGTTCTGGCATGGGGTTTGTTCAGCAGAAACCAGCAGCAGCATCAGACAGCAGTGCAAAATGTCTGTTTCTATGCATTTGTAAGAAATTATTAGTAATTATTTACCATCAACACATATTCCTGAAAGCTCTATCTGTCCCATGTGGTATTAAGGATCAGAACATTTAGAAATCAGGGAGAAGATCCTGAGTAAGGTTCTGGATGCATGTTTTTAAGAAGTATCCCTGCCTGGTCTACGTGGAGTTTGAGCTGGATTGTGTTGGGACTATTACTGCGGATTTATTCTGTCACTTCCCAACGTGGATAACTGAACTTTGAGTCAACAATCCATCTGGGAAGTGTCTTCAGAGCAGAACTAGTGAAACACCAGTGCTTTGGTGGGCACTTCAGTGGTGTTTTGTAGGGACAGCTCATACCTGGGCTGTGCTGGGCTGGCTATCTCGCAAAATATAGCAAACAGCCTTTTTTCAGACTGTTGTCCAAGTTTTTTCAGTCCTTGTGCTGCCTTCCACAGAACCAGCTGAAGATGGCTCGTTTCACCATTGTGGATGGGAAATCTGGAAAAGGGATTGGCTTCAAGGATGTAGCAGGAATGCATGAGGCAAAAATGGAAGTCAAGGAATTTGTGGACTATTTAAAGGTATATAAAAGTAGAACGAAATAAGTATATTCTGGGATAGATGGCTGACCTGGGGAGGAGGAGGTGTTCTGCTCTTCATTCTTCGTGATTCTGGGCAGCCTCTTATGAAATAAGCTCTGCATTTCCAGTTCCCATGCAGATGGAGCTGCTCCCATTGGCAGCTCAGAGCTGCCCAGGCTGAAAACAGTCTCGGGAAGCTCTGGGAGGCCACACTGTGGCGCAGATGCAGTGCGAGCTGTGGGTCTGACCTGCTGTTTTTTCTTTCCAGAATCCTGATCGCTACCTCCAGCTCGGGGCCAAGGTGCCCAAGGGCGCCCTGTTACTGGGCCCGCCGGGCTGTGGGAAGACACTGCTGGCCAAGGCTGTGGCTACGGAAGCCCAGGTGCCGTTTTTGGCCATGGCAGGCTCTGAGTTTGTGGAGGTGATTGGAGGTAAGGTGCTCTGAGGATCGAGGGGAGCTCACTTGCTCCGTTGTGCAGTCGGAGCTCGCCGGCTTTGCTGACAGGTTTAGGTACAAGGTTTCTCTGTCCTTGCCCTGCCCTGCAGGTCTGGGGGCCGCGCGGGTGCGGAGCCTGTTCCGGGAGGCGCAGGCTCGCGCCCCCTGCATCGTCTACATCGACGAGATTGACGCCGTGGGCAAGAAGCGTTCCACCAATGTGTCTGGCTTTGCCAATGCTGAGGAGGAGCAGACCTTAAACCAGCTGCTGGTGGAAATGGATGGTCAGTGTTTCTCCCTGCCCCTATCTCCTCAGAGATCTAAGCTGTTGGCCTGTTTAGCTTTATCCTGCTTGAACGTGCTTGGCCTCTCCAGCAAGTGTTCTCTTGCTGAAGTCTGAACCAGTCTGAGCCCATGTACCCCATCGCTAGTCTCTGGTTCTGAAGGCACTGGAATATATTCTCTCCAGCTGTCCCTTTGGTAGGCAGGACTGCTCCAGAGCTGGGGGTGCCAGAGAAAGTGACTGGGCTCAGGACAGATCATAGAATCCCAGAATGGTTTGGGTGGGAAGGGATCGTAAAGCTCATCTCATTCCACCCCCTGCCATAGGCCAGGACACCTTCCACTAGACCAGGTTGCTCCAAGTCCCATGCAGCCTGGCCTTGAACACTTCCAGGGATGAGGAGTCCACAACCTCAGCCTCTGGGCAACAGATCTTGAAGTGTGTGCTGTGATCATGTTGTGGAGAAAACCCCCTTGAAATCTAGACATTTACACAGGCTTTTAAGGGTTTGGGGCTAAATCTAGTAAATTTTAAAACCCTGGAGTTTAGGTCCAGTTGGCCATTAATGTCATTGGATACTTGCTGTGTTCCATCTGAGACAGTTTAAAACCTGTCAGGGTTTAGAGTTCAGTTGTCCCAGAGGGACATAGGTGATGGAATATATCCATTCTCCTGTCCTTTGCCGTATGTTTATGTTATCTGCCTGACCACAGGCTCCTTAAACTGAGAGAGAGAAGCTTTGCAAACAAGTCCTGGTTGATGCCACACTCATGTGTAGTTTCTGGCTGTTCTCCATCCAGGATTGGCCCTTTGCTGAAACACTTCTACACAAAGAATGATCTTTTGGCTCTGCTTAGTTCTAACTCTGAGCCTGCAGCACTGACCAACTGCAGTGTTTCTGTTGCTAAATCTTATTATTGCAGAGCAGGGTAAGGAATAACCCACCACCTGCATGTCCATCAGGGAGTGTTTGTTTCACTGGATCTGTGACTCATAACTTGACTGTCACATTGTCTCATCACACTCTTCATGTGAAAAATTAAAAGCAGTTGTGCTTCAGAAGCATCCCCAGACCTGAGTTACAACTGCTGGCTCTGTACTGAGTGTTTGCAGTGAAGTAGATGGTCTGGACAGCAAAGGCCAGTGGTGACACAGAACAGCAATCCTGGCTTGGGTGGGTCTTTCTCCCCTGACAGTTGTAGGATGAGCTGGCACCTGAATTAAAGGAAGCCTGCATGTCTGTTCAGGAATATGCAGTCAGTGCATTCCACATCTCTGTCCTAAAAATGAAAATGTCTGATTTCCATCAGTCTGTAAAAATTAGGTGTGGTTTCTGGAGTGTTTTCTTGGTGAGTCTCAATGCAGAAATGAGGGTACAGCTCCACTGGAAATTGAGTTTAGAAGGTAAATATTATCCTCAATGTGTGCTTTGTAATCCCTTGTTTGCTCTGTGCTGCCTGGTTTATTTTTAAATTTATATTATCTCATTCTTTATTCATGTCTCACACAGATCATGTACTGAGTCTCTCATTTTGCTCAGTGCTTTATCAAACACACCCTGAAAAACCAGCCCAAGGAGTTGACACTGTCAAACAGGAGACAGCTGGCAAGGATGTCAGCCTGGTAGTGGGAACATGGGATCAGCAGGGATCCTGGCACGTGGCACTGAAGTGTTACCTAATGGAGCATGTCACCTAAAGCAACACTGAAGTGCCACATGCACCATGGCAAAACAGTTCTCAGGTTTACAGTGAATAAGGTTTTTAGGAAGGGAACAGTTCTGTCCCAGCACAGGTGGGAGGAGTGGTGAGTGTTTGCAAGGAAGCCTTGAGATGGAACATTGAGAGCCTTGGTTTAGCTGTGTTGAGCTTAAATTGAGGGTTGAAGGCAAAGCAACACCATAGACCCGAGTTGGGTGTTAACTGGAGAAAAAAATCATGCACAAAAGCAGATTTGTGAGTCACCAGTGATTGTTGCATTTGTGTGATTGAATGAGGTTCCTCAGAGGGAAGGAAGAGAGAGAAGAGGAGGGTCAGAGCTGTATGAAACCTTCTGTAAGGGGTGAGTGTGCAGGTTGGAGCTGGGTCATGCTGCTGTGCAGATTTCGGAGTAACCATAGTGCTCTTCCTTCATCAGCCTGGGTTTCCTTCCCTCTGTCTTGCTCTGTGTTTGGGAAGCACCGGGAGTCTGGTGGGAGAAGAGGAGGCACTGGAGGGAGCCTCTCTACAAAAGCTGTTTGTAGGAGCGGAGTGACGCATGAGCTCCGGGCTCTGTCAGAGCAGGTGCCTGGTTTGAATAGTGAATCTCCCTCACAAATCGCAGACAAGCGGAAGAGGGATGTGACCCAAATCTCTGCTCTGTTCAGAATGCTTTGAGAGGAGCTTTGCCAGTCCTAGGCTGAGCCGGGGGGTGTGAATGAGATGCAGGACAGCTTTTGGTAGCAACTCTTCACCTGGAGCCCTCGAACAAGACCTGTCCCAAGCTGTGCCATATGCAGCCCTCGGGCTTCCCTTGGGAAGGGGCCCCTCCTGCTGCTCCCAGGTGATGTCCAAAGACTTTTGGACAAATGGCTGGAGGGTGACACAGTGCAACACTGCAGGTGAGGGGCCCACCAAACAGTGTGCTGGTCACTGTGGAGCACAGCACTTGGCAGCTCAAGTGGACCCTTTTCCCTTTCCCTTCTGAAATGGTTCATTTGTGACCCTGGCAGGAACTCTCTCTTCAGGCTGCGTTTTCAGAGCTGTTCCTCACTTTTTGATATGATGAGGTGTTGTTTTTGTAGCCTGTTCCTTTGACTGATCTTTGCCTGTGATGTCCCAGTGATGTTGCATAGGGAACAGTGACATGAATTGGAGGCTGTGGCTGTGGATTTCTTGGAGCAGTGTTTCTCACTGCTGGGATACAGGCTGGGGAACAAGTGGGGCAGAAGCTGATGTGAGGAGGATGCTCACAGTGCTTCTGGTTTTTAATTTGCTCTAATAGTCAGGCCTATTTTAAGAGAGTCTCCCCAGCTGCGAGGCAGATAATGCACTGTGCCATCTAATCCTGCTGTGGAATAAAACCTGCCATTCCTAGATTGCCCATCAGGCTCTGCTTGTTTATCCCACTCTAGAGTGCAGTGAGATACACATCTCAGGGATGCTTGGCTTCATCCTCTCCAGCAGCTTGTTTAGGCAGGAACCTGCAGAGAGGGAGCACTGGGTCTGCTGCAGCACAGGCTGGCACAGCCAGTCCCCTGCCTCACCTGGAACCTGGGTCTGTGCTGAGCTCTCGCACGCTGACACATTTGGCAGCTCTTCTGGTGGAGCTGAGAGCTGAAAGCAGCCCAGCTTACGTGCACAGAGCTGCCTCTCCACAGTGTGGGACTTGGCAGGGAGGGAAGCACATGGGACTGTCATGTCCTTTCCCTGGGAAGGCTGCTTGTGCCAGGGCTGGGGAATGTGCTGGAAGCAGGTGACTCATGCCCAGGGGCCTGCAGGCACCTGGTGGAATGTAATAAATAACAGTGTGGGGCAGTGATTCAACATGAGCTCTGGCTCCCCACCCAGCAGCACAATGCCTGCCCCTCTGCCCTCCTCCAGCTGCCCGTGCTCTGCCTTCCCAGGAAGCCCTGTCTGTCTTTGATGCCTCCACTGAGGCTGCTCTCAGGCAGCCTGTAAATCCTGATGCTCCCTTGTTTAAGGCCTGGAGGCAAAACTTGCTCTGACTGTGGCTTGACCAAATTCTGTGCTGATAATCACTGCAGAGCTCTTAGGTTGTGTTTTGTGTCTGCAGGTTCTGCAGGGCTGGTCTGTGCAGTGCCCTGCACTGTGCCTGGGTGCCTGCAGAGGGTAAGAGATGAGTGAATTGGCAAAGATCATCTTGTGCTGTAACATGCTCCTTGTTGAGAGGCAAAGCCATATTTTCTCTGCATTAACCTGAGCGGGTAGAGGTCCCTCCCCTGGTGATCCTGGTGGCCTGTCTGTGACTGAAGACTGAAAGTAAATAAAAACTGAAAGGGCTTTCCGTGGGAAGGAAAAGCTGTTTCAGCTAGGATATGCTGCTTGTACAACCTGGAGCTAAAGGAGCAGGAAATGACTTAAGATGGGTGAGAAGGCATCTGTGGACTTGTCAGAATAGAGAGATTCTGTTCTGGGTTCTAGTTGGGGCAGTTCCCAAATGTGACAAAAAGGGAAGGGAAATAGAACTTTTAAGCCAGGGTTAAGTAAGTAAATGAAAAGGGGATTTCAGAGTATCCCTGATGGCCAGAGACTGTCCTGGGTGACCTGGGTGGTTCGTTCCTGTCTTTGCTCTGAGCTGAAGGGGACATTCTTAGCCCCAGCTGCCCCAAAGGCTGCTCTGAACACCTGGCTTTGTGCTAAAGCTGTGCAAACTCTGCCTCTGGCCTGCCCAGCCCACTGTGTGCCTGCAGTGCAGTCTGAAGTGGGAAAAACCCTCCCCTCTGTTTTTCCTTGGCTTTGGCAGGGATGGGGACCACGGATCACGTCATAGTGCTGGCTTCCACCAACCGCGCCGATGTCCTGGACAATGCTCTGATGAGACCTGGGAGGCTGGACAGGCACATCTTCATTGACCTCCCAACGCTCCAGGTATGTTCCACCAGCTGCCCTGTCCTTCCCGAACGCTGATGACTGAGGTGTCCCGGTCCTTGCTGGTGACTCACAGGCCTGGCAAAGGCTGAGCTTGGAGGAGACGGAGATGTTGAGCTTCTCTTTGCCTTTATTCTTGTTTCTGTGCTCTAAGTCAAGGGTTTGTCATGCTAATGCAGTTGCCTGTTTCTCTGAAGTGACAGTTCACTGGTTTGGAGCATCTCTGCTCTGGTAGAGCTTGGCTTTGAATTCTTCTGTGATGTTCCCTTTGCCATGCAGATGCAGAACTGTGTTTGTGTCTTCTCTCCAGGAAATTGGGAAGCACCTAATTGGCAATTGGCTGTTGTGAGAGTTTAAATTGTCATGTGCCTTGAGCACCATTTGTTCTGTAGGTTTATGACCCTCCCTATCCTTGTAAGGCTCCTCATTTTCCTTTAGGCAGCCTGTTAAGTGACTTTCTCCTTCTGAATGCTTTTTAAATCCATTTACTAGGAGTTTCCCATGTCCGCTGTGTTGACATTTGTAGCAGAGTTCTGGGAATGGACTCAGCTGCAGTTAGGATCTGTGTGCTCTGCCAGCACAAGCTCTTCCTCTCCCATCTGTGCTTCACTGTCCTCTGCAGAGCTTTCAGTGAAAATACCTTAAATGCCTGATAGAGTCTGGCCCCCGGAAGGCTGAACTGTGCAGCTGCCCTGAAGGAGGAAGGGGAAAAACCCTGGCAACTGAGCCCATTGTTTGAGTCAGGATCTCCTGGACCAGCTGAATGAGTCACTTGGTGGCTGCTCGCCAGGCATCTCACCCCCACCTCCGTCTGGGAAATGGGTGCAGGCTGAGGAGCTGTGCATGGGGTGTGCAGTTTGTGGTTTGTACAGGAGCAGGTCGAGGCAGTCAGAGCTCCTTCCTGCAAGAGCTTTTATGGTGAGGGAAAAGTTGAGACAGATCAGAGTGAAAGTGTAGACGGGAGAGTGGCCCTGAGAGAGAAAGCAGTGACTCAGGCACAGCCTCCTGCATCTGCTGAGAATTTGAGAGCTGGGTGTTTATCAGGGCTTCTGGTGCACTGGAAGCTGCACGGACAGCCCTGCCCTCTGCTGGCACTGTCGCCGTCCCCCTGCCAGAGCCCTGCTCCCTGCCATGGACAGCGTGTTGGAAGTTGCTGTGCTGTGGTCCCCTGGCTGGGCTCAGAGATTGTGTGTTCTTTACAGGAGAGGAAGGAGATCTTTGAGCATCACCTGAAGGGCCTCAAGCTGATCCAGGACGGCAGTTTCTACTCGCAGCACCTGGCTGAGCTCACTCCAGGTTTCAGCGGTACGGCCTGTCCTCAGGAGTGCAGCTCCTGCTCCAGCTCTGCAGCTCAGGCTGCAGCTCCTGCAGGGTGTGGGTTTAACAGGGTGTTTTGGTCAAAAAGGGCTTTTTTCTCCATTTCTGTAGAAATAGTGGGAACCTGACCAACTCCCTTCTGAGCTCTGATGAGCAGTTGTTCATGACTATTTTCAGTCTTCTGAAATTTCTTGGACTAGCAGGGGTGTGGGGTGTAGGGAAAATGTGCTTTTATAATGCCCAGGTTCCTAATTCCTAAGGGGAGGATGCTCATGCTCCAGTCCAAGCTGTTGTTGAGGATGAGGTGTTGCACTTCAGGGGAGAAGGCTGTTAAGTTAATGGAACTGTAGAATATGCTGAGTTGGAAGGGACCCATCAGGACCATTGAGTCCAACTCCTGGCCGTGCACAGGACACCCCAAAATCCCACCTGGTCCCTGAGAGCATTGTCCAAACACTCCTTGAACTCAGGCTTGGGGCTGTGACCACTACCCTGGGGAACTTTTTCAGTGCCTGACCACCCTTTGGGTGAAAACCTTTTCCTGATATCCAGCCTTACCCTCCCCTGACTTGGCTTCATGCTTTTAAATTGATTTATGGTACCAGGAAAGCGATGGGAGGAATGAGTAGGAATTATTTTGCTGGTCAGAGTAGAAATTGGACAGCTCTGCCTGGCTCCTGCCTCAAGCCTGCTTCCAGGGTGTGTCCCTGGGAGCTTGAAACAGTGCTGAGCAAGAGGCTCCAGAGTTCCTGTTTATGTCGAGTTCCTGGAATATCCTTCCTGGGTTTTCCCTCTCATAGGCCCCAGCACTCTGTCTCTCTGTGACTTCTCTGAGCAGCCCCCCACCACCAAACCCACCCACACAAACTCGGAACAGATGTTCCTTCTCTTGGCTCCAAGGTTGAGCAGAGCAGCAGCCTGTGCCAGCCCACTGCCCACACCATCCCTGTCCCTGGGAGCCAGCCTTGGCCTCAGCCTGCTCCTGGATTGCTGAGCTCTGTGTGGTATCAGCATTCCTTGCCAAGGCAGTTGTATTGTTCAAATCCAACATAAACACCATGGACTAGGCTCTCTGTTCCCAAGGAACAAAAAGCACAGGCTGTTTGGCTTCCTTAGGTCTTTCTCCAGATTTGTTCTTGCTCATTCTGTCCTCTGAATTCTCTGTCACACACAAATCCAATGTAATTCCTGTAAACTCATGTCTGCAGGAGCTGACATAGCGAATATCTGTAACGAAGCTGCTCTTCACGCTGCCAGGGAAGGGCACAAATCCATCGACACCTCCAACTTTGAGTATGCTGTGGAGAGAGTCATTGCAGGTGAGAGATCCAGCCCTTTCCTAGAATCATGGAATGGTTTGGGTGGGAAGGGACCTTAGAGATCATTTCGTTCCACCCCCTGCCGTGAGCAGAGACACCTTCCACTAGCCCAGGTTGCTCCAAGCCCCGTCCAACTTGGCCTTGGACACTTCCAGGGATGCGGCAGCCACAGCTTCTCTGGGCAGCCTGTGCCAGTGCAGCAGTATTTCTGTTGTTGCCTCTGGAGTCTATTCCACTTGAGAGAAGGCTCAGGTGAGGAGGTTACATTCCAGAAAGACAGATGGGTCCTAACTGTGGTCTGGCCTGAAAGTCTTCAATGCCAGTCACAGAAAGTTCTCTGAAGAAGACCCCAAATGGATCCATCTTCCTGATTCTGTGGGAGCCTCAACCCATAGCTTAGGGAAAATGGCCAGTGACAAAATAATAAAGAGGGGAATTCAAATCTGTGTGGCTTTTTCGTTTTGAAAGCTTGGGGATTTTTGTGGGTTAATTTTTTTAAAAAGAATAAAAGTGGCAGTATGTCTGGGCTTCTCTTGCTTTTCTGGACACCTGCTACATAAACATGAATAGCAAATAGGCTTTGCATCCTCAACAGCAAGAAATTAGAGATTTTTCTTTCTGGCCTCCAAGCCCAGGCTTTGATGAATTGGCAGAATAAACGGCAAGACAGTGGAGCACTGTTCTCCCTCTGAGAACATCCTGTGGCCTTTCTCTGCCACTTGTGCCATTGCCAGGAGAGGAACCTCTGGAGATTTCCCTGTAGCAGTGTATTGTAAGGAAGGGAAAAGAGTTCCCAGAACTCTTGACTTCACCTGAGGGATTTGAATGTGGTGGGTTTCGGGCTGAACTGCCCTGGAGCCAGGCTGTGGTTTTCTTAAGCAGACACTGAACTGCTTCCAGGCTGCAGTGTCGTTCCCGGGGCAGCTGGGCACACAGACTGCCATTCTGTGCTTTTCTAGTGGAGCATGTGGAACAGGATGTTTGTGCTGGGTCATTTATTTCCTGATCCTGGAATTGAGTCCTGAGTGTTTGCTTTATCAGAAAATGCCTGAAGAGTTCCTAGTTTTTTGAGAAATTCCTGAAAGTTTCACCTGTCTCTGAAAAAGAAAACCCTTGGAGTGCTTTGGGTAAAAACAGGAATCCCAGCCTGTACTCAGCAGCTCCCAGGAGTGGACAGTGAGACAACTGGAGTTGTAACACAGAAATTCTCATCAAGCCACAGCAAAGGTCATAGAATCACAGAATGGTTGGGGTTGGAAGGGATCTTCAAGCTCGTTTCATTCCACCCCCTGCCATGGGCAGGGACACCTTCCACTAGACCAGACTGCTTCAAGCCCTGTCCAACCTGGCCCTGAACACTTCCAGGGATGGGGCAGCCACAGCTTCTCTGGGCAACCTGTGCCAGGGCCTTACCACTCATTTTTCCCTAATATCCCACCTAAAACTCCTCTCATTGAGTTGGAAACCATTCCCCCTTGTCCTGACAGCACTTTCTCTTGTAAAGATGTGCTTTACTTTCCCATCTGCAGGAGTGAAAGCATCAGACCTGTAGGGATTCACTTGGCTTTTCTTTCTGAATTCCAGCCTTGTCTTAGTTCCCCACACTTGGAAGATAAAGCAAAAAGCAAGGAAGGCCAGAGGGGATGGCAGCAGAAGGGATCCCTGGGATTCGTGTGGTGGGGCATTGCAGGACATGGGCTTTGGCAGTTTCGAGCTGCCTGGCCTCACTCAGGCTCTGGGGTGTGTAAGAGGCCACAGAGTCTTTTTGTTGCTTAATCAGATTCTCTCATATTACCAGGACTGGCTATTTTTTGTAGACTGAGTCTAAAAGACCCCAAACAACCCCCCCAGGCTCCTCTATTAAGTGTACCCTTGCCATGTTGTAGGAATGCTGCTGGGTTTCACAATCTAGAGGGCATTTCAGTTCCTATAAAAGCTTTTCTTGAAAGAAAGAAAGAAGATATTACTGTGCTTTCCATTAGGAGCTTCTGGTTTTAATAACAGTGGGGTGGAATCAAAAGGAAACTTTGTAAGTCCAGAGGCCCTGTCAGCCTTAAAGCTTTGTGTTGCTGTAAGGGAGGAGCAAGAACTTCTCTCTGTGGTAGTTCCCATTGTGTTTTTAGTTTGGGAACAGAAAGCAGTTAGTCAGGTCTCCTGGGAGTGAGGGAAGGAACCTGCGGAGCACACAGAGGCTTTTAGGGCTTGGCATTAGAGGATGGAGCCTATTTTCTTGGAGAGGTTTGCGTAAGGCCAGCGGAGATGCACCAGAGTTGCTTTCTGGGTGCTTTGTCTCATAAATGTGATAAGTACAGGCTTTCAGGGAACTTTCCTTACTGGAGATTACTTTATGTAGGAAAAGCAATAATCTTTTGTGCTGTTGGGAAGAACACGGTCTCTCCCAGTCCCTCCCTCAGTGGGCTGATGTGGGAATGCTTCCAGAATTTTTTAAGTGTGTGTATGTGTATATATATATATATATATTTAGAGAGAGTATAGATGCATCTTTGTGTGGATAGAGCCATACAGGGCCATGCTCACACGCTGCTAAAGGCAGGGTAGGGACTGACTGCTACAAATCAAGGCAGTAGCAATTAATCTGCTGTTCCATTGTGCCTTGCAGGGCACAGCAGCTTCCAGGGTCCCTGAGCAGTAATTTTACAAGATCTGCCATAGTAATTTTGCTGTTTCCTTGTTTAATAAAGCCCTTGACTTTGCTTAAAAATTCATGTTAATAGAATGTTGTTTTCCAAGACATGAAGCAAGCTTTGTACAATACTGCTCCTGACTGCTTGCCCTCCCCTCTGCTGCTCCGGGCTCTGTGTGGGGACACTGGCCTGGAAGTCCTGGGATCTTTCTGCATCCAACATTCTGAACTGTATGTTCTATACAGTTCCTGACACGCTGTGTGTTCTGTACTTATTTTTCCTACGTGCCAGAAGTTCTACTTCCATTCACCTTTCTTTTTTTAATCCTTTTTGGACTTGCTCTACCAACTTGGAAAATAGACACTTTCAAAAATCACCTTTCTGGAGTAAGGATTAAGTGTGAGATACGGCTTCATTTGCTAGTTCTCAGGAGCCTGGGAATAAGCTCATACAGAGCATGCCATGTGTAATCAGAGACATTTCCAGGCTCTGGGGAAGGATTTCTGTATCTACTCTTGGTCTTTTGCTGATTTGAACACTCTTAATGCACAATTTTCTCAACTGGGACTTCATATATATAATGCAACATTTCTCTTATATTCTGCCTAAGGGACTGAAGACAGCAAAATCAGTGTGAGACTCATTCTGGGTTTTGTTATTGGGGTTTTTTTGTGTTGTTTTGGGTTTTTTCCAAGAAAAAGAGTGAGCTGCCTTGTTGCAGATCTGTCCTTGGGAACAGGACCGAGCTTCGCGTTCTTGAGCTGTGATCGAATCAAATGTCAAATCATTTATCTAATGATTAAATCTGTTGTAAGGAGGAGAAGGGGGAAAATTTCTGCCAGTGTTTTCAAGCAATTCCAAGCATGGATTGTTTTCCACTTCCAAGCTTGTAATTAAAGGGGGTTTGCTGCCCCTCCCTCGCCAAGTTCAGCACAAATTGTTCAGCCACAGGCTGCGTGAGCTTGTGCACTGAGCTGGACCAGGTTATGCCCCGCTGGTTACACCTGTTTCTGATACCTTATCAAATCCTGGTCTGTATCCTACAGGCACTGCCAAAAGAAGTAAGATCTTGTCACCAGAAGAGAGGAAGGTTGTGGCATTCCATGAATCCGGTCACGCGCTGGTTGGGTGGCTGCTGGAGCACACCGAGGCCGTCATGAAGGTACTTCCACTGCCAGGAGGGGTGTGATGAACTGGTCACTGGGGCTGAAGGGAGTCCTGAGGGCTTCCACTGCCCCAGATTACTTTGTGGTACTTGTGTTTAATTCTGCTGTGTTACCCCAACAGTGATACTGCAGCAAAATAAATGGCAAATAGAGAATCACAGAATTAATTAATCCAGCACTGCCAAGCCCACCATTAAACCAGGAGAGCTTCAGGTTGCATATTAGGAATAATTTCTTCACTGGAACAGTGGTTAAGCATTGGAACAGGCTCCCCAGGAAGTGTTGGAGTCACCATCCCTGGAAGTGTTCAAAAACAATTGGGCGTGGCACTTCACACTGTGGTTTAGTGGGCTGGTGGGATTCACTTAAAGGTTGGAATTGAGGATCTTGGAGGGCTTTTCCAACCTTAATGATTCTGTGGTTCTATAAACCATGTCCCTAGATTTTGCTGTAGAGAAATGCAGTATTAGGCTCCACTGATGATAGTGCTGGTGCAAAGCTGATTAACCAGCTATAGGAGAAGCTTTGCAGTTAAAAATTAGAAGCAACTGTCTCCTGGTGCTGCTGCTCAGTTATGCACTTCCAGGCTGCTCCATATGTGATCCCTCACCCAGCACGTTTCAGCCAGCAAAGCTCCTATTGCAGGAATTGCTCTGGTACTGCTGGGGAGCTGTGTTTTTCAGACTGGGAGGTTCTCTGCCTGAAGCCCTTCTCTGCAGGGAAAGGCCTCTTTGGCACCCCGGGATGTGATCCATGCACATCTCCTCCAAAAGTGGAACGCTGGGATGGGGTTGGGGAGTGGAATGACAAGGGTGACAGTTCCTTGGCTGACTACCAGCAGCACATTCACTCTGAATGACCCATTGTGTAAGCAGAACTGGTGTTAATTACTCTCGCTTAATGGGTGGGGGAAATGGTTGTTATTTTTCTGATGACTTTCTTTTTGCAGGTAGTCTCAGGGATTTTGGAGCAGAATCAATGAACTCTGACTTACACGCTCCAAAGGAACTCCTAAATCTCAGGATTTCTCTGGCTTCCTCTTAAGGATAATTTCCTTTGCATTTCTTAAGCAGAAAGCATGTGCAGGCAGAGCCTTCAGTGCAGGAATCGTGACACACTGTGGTCCTCGGCCGTGTCCCTGTAGGCCAGCCTGTCCATAGCTATGGACAAACTTCCCTGGGAGTGTAGGAGCCCTCCCTGTGCTGTTGCAGTGGGGAGCTGTGTTGTTCTGTGAGCTGAGGGAGCTGCTCTGTGTCGCAGGTGTCCATAGCCCCTCGGACAAATGCAGCGCTGGGGTTCGCACAGATCCTGCCCAGGGAGCAGTACCTGTTCACCAAGGAGCAGCTGATGGAGAGGATGTGTATGGCACTGGGGGGCAGAGTGGCTGAGGCCATCACCTTTAACAAGGTCACCACAGGTGAGGAACCAGAGCCTGGCAAGGGCAGGTAGAGGTCCAGGGTGCTCTGAGCACAGGACGGAGGTTTCCTGTGCTGGGAAGAAGAAATGCCAAATGGTGTATTTTGGTCCTTGGCAAACGCTGTGTGTGTGTCTATCTTGCTCAGGAGCACAGGATGACCTGAAGAAAGTGACCAAGATCGCCTACTCCATGGTGAAGCAGTACGGGATGGTGCCCAGCATCGGGCAGCTCTCCTTCCCGGACCTGGAGAGTGCCCCTGGGATTGGCCGACGCCCCTTCAGCCAGGGCCTCCAGCAAATGATGGACCATGTAAGGCCGCCCTGGGTTAAATGGTTCTTTTTGTTTTTTGCTTTCTGCAGTTCAGTGAAACAATGCAAGTGACTTACACCCAAACAATTTGCATTCTGCTGTAGGTTACTGAGTAGTGGATTTCAACAGGTGAGCACTTATTTGATGTGTGGCTGTGTGAGGGCTTTGCCTTGAGGCCTTAGGAACAGGCAGAATCCCACCTGGATGTGAGTTCAGCCCAGTAACTTGTGCTATGCAGTACTTAGATGGCAAGAAATCTGTGTGTTACAGTCTCAGCTGCACAGTGTAAATGTCTGCATTTCCTACATCAGATCTAACAAAAATGACGATTGGACTGACTGCAATTCAGCCTGTTTTGACAGGAAATTGAGCCTCAATGCTGGGAAAAAAACCATTGTTTTCGTTGAAAAATCAAAAAGCTGGAAACAAAAAAGCTCTTGTTTGAGGCACTGTGGTTGTGCTTCCCTGGGATTTGTGCTGAGCTGCACCTTTAGCTCCTGGGCAGCCTTAATCTGCATTTCCCATCGGCTACGACTGCCCTGAAGAGCTGTGCTAGGGCAGGAGTTCACTGCGCCTTATCACCAGCACTCCTTGGGCCTTTTTCCAGTTTATCCATAGTTTTTGTGGATGGGAACCATGTTCTGGCTCAGTTTGCAAATTCCATCCCTCAGAGCTCTCCTTGTTTAGCCACACATTGTGTTTGTTGCCACCTACACCCTAAATCTCTCATTTCTTCCAGGAAGCCAAAGTCCTAGTGGCTCAGGCTTACAGGCGGACGGAAAAGCTCTTACTGGAGAACAGGGACAAGCTGCAAACAGTGAGTTGGATTGTGTGGGATTTTGTGTGTTGTTTTGGGTTTTTTCTACTGGTGGTTTTTGCTTTGCTGCTTTCTGTGCTCTGTAGCTCAGCTGTTGCAATGTCTCTCTCCTAGAAAGTCTCGTAGTGGGAGTGTTGGGAACAAGTGACTGTTTACTGTGGATCCCCCGGATTCAGAGCAGGCACGGGGAGGAATGTGTGCCTTTCCCAGTACCGAGTAGCTGCCTCCTCACACCAGCTGGTGTTTGCAGGGTAGAGGAGGGGGAGTGCTTCATGCAAGTGATCAAAGCTGGAATTTATGTCCCTCACCTGCACTTCTCTGCTTGCCTCTTGGCAGTGGAATTTCCTGGAGAGCAGACAGTGACTGATTTTGGGAAGCCAAGCCAGCAATCGGGTGGACACTTTCTGGCTTTGGTGAAGGAATATGGGACCTGTCACCTTGGCTGATTTGGGGCTGGTTCCTGCTTTCTGGTGACTCCAGGCAGTTTTCACCTCCCTGATACCTGATAAAACCTCCTTGGTACATCCTCCTTGACACCTGATACACCAAGGAATCCTCATTGCAAAAGTAGAGCTTTGCCTCCTCGCCTTTGTATCCTGATAGTTCCTAACCAGTCTCCCACCCTGGCACATTCCCACCCATGCCAGGAGCTGTGTGCCCATTGGTTTGGGCTGAGCCACACTAGAGTCACAGCACCCTGTGTGTCTCCTTAACCTCCCTTCAGAAATCCAGTCCATGACATCCAAAATGACCAGGATCAACTTAGTGTTGCATAGTTTGCAAATCAAGCAATTATTTTCCTTAAATCTTCTTTTTAAACAAACGAGAATAACAACAACAACCCCTTCAGCTCCACAGTGTCAGGCCTCTGGTGATACAGAGACAGCTCGGTCCCCAGGCCAGTGCCCTGGCAGCTCTGGAGCAGGGATCCTCAGGGATGTCTCTGCAGGCTCCTCTGTCCTGCTGCTGCCATCTAACAGCAGCCAGATGTTTGCTGGAGGCTCAGCTCAGAAAAACTTTAAAGTGAAGCCAAAGTATCTCCAGAGTCAATGTTTCAGTTGCCAGAGCCTCCCGTCTGGTCAGCAGGATTGAGCAGTTCCATGCTGGACAAGCCACCTGCTGCTCCAGAGGGGTGGTGCTGCTGCCAGAGGGGCTGTGGAATTCCACTTCTTTGGAGAGGAACTCATGCTGACCCCCAGCCCATGGCTGCAGGAACAGGCAGCTCTTTGTTAGCACTGTGTGTGCAGGGAGGGCTGTGGGCCTGCCCGAGGTCTCACTGCTGCTGCTTTGGCTCCTGGGCAGGGCCACAGGTGCAGTGACAGTGGCAGGAGGGACACTTCTCTCATTGTTCCTGGAGCTCTCATTCCCATTCCCAAGAGCTTGCTTTGTTGCCTGCAGTCACGCTGTGTGTTCCTGGCCAAACGCGCTCTAGGGAACAGTGCCGGAGCCTGGAGAAATTTGTCCTGGCTCCAGTGGCTTTGGGGTCATCCCATCTAGGGGGGGACAGCTGGAGTCTGCTCCTGACTCCTGAAAGTCGGAGAGTTTCACCTTATTTGGAAAAAAAATAAAGCTTCTAAGTTTTCAAGTTCTGTCATTTATCACATGTCCTAACCCTATCAGTCCTGTCTCAGCAGAGAACTGATGAGAAAGCTGTCTGAAAATCTCCAATTCTGAAGAAATAATCAACTGTTTTTAAAATTACATTGTTCTCTCTGCGATGCAGAACCATGTGGATCCTAGCAGAGAACTAGGAGTCACTGGATATGCCACTGACCCAAGGAAATGTACTTTCATAAAACCAATCTGCACCCTGTGCTCTGGGCAGGTGTTGGGATCTGAGTTGAGCTGGCAGAGTTGAGACCAGCTCAGACGGGCAGTTTGGAGCCCCTGTTCCTCACAGTGCCTCATTTCTCCTTTCCAGCTGTCCAGTGCCCTCCTGGAGAAGGAAGTGATCAACTATGATGACATTGAGGCCCTGATCGGGCCCCCTCCCCACGGTCCCAAGAAGATGATCGCCCCTCAGAGCTGGCTGCAGGCAGAGAGGGACAAACAGGACATCAGGGAGGAGGAGACACCCCCCCAGCCACCACACTCTGAGGAGGAGGAGGAACCACGCCTGAGACCAGTGTGAAGCCCACTCCTCTGTGGAATGGGAGGGTTCTTTGGAACACAGACCCTTTCCCTTCTCAGCTCCAGAGTCAAAGATGCTGACCAGGGAATTGCTGTGCTGTTGTTACCCCAAAATTAAGGGATGGCTACATTTGCACCTTGCTTTATCCTGCAGGAATGAGAACTCCTCAGGAGTTGAGAATTGATTCCCAGCAGGGTGGTGGTGATTAGGAGTTGGGCAAGTCTGATCTGCTGTGAAGGTTTCTGGTACACAGGAGCAGGGTACATGTGCTTGGGGATGAAAGATCCTACGTAAGCCAGCTCTGGCTGTGCTGTGTGCCATGGCAGGAGGGCAGGGCTGTGCCCTGGGTGCCAGCCTGGGGAAACTGAGCTGAGCTGAGCAGCTCTTGTGTAACCTTTGAGCATCTTTGCTGTGAACACAACACAGTAACAGCCTTGGCTGGAATAAACTGCCCACAGTGTGCCTCCGTGTGTGTAGAATGTGTCAGGCTGGGGGGATGTTCTGGCACATATGAAGCTCATTAGAGCGGTGGAGTTGTACAGAACAAGGGCCTCCTTCTCCCTGTTCAATAATTTATATCCAGTTTTTATAGCAAGTGTTTCCTAAGCAGAGATTAAGGAAAATCTGTGTGCAGAGCTCAGTAGTGGGACATGAGAAACCAGCAGTGCAGAGAGTGATTCCAAGTACATGTGGGAAAGCTGTTTTGAACTGCTGGTTCAGAGCTGAAGAGGTGCTCTTGGAAATCCAGCAAAAGCAGGTGTGTACATGTGTTGGGAATCCTCAGGAAAAGCTGCTCCATCCTTGTGGCTCTTGCAAAACAGGCCCTGCTGACAGGGCTGTCTGGTGTTCATCAGGGAAAGTATTAAAGTGATTGTTGCTGCCTGGAGTGCCCTGGCTGGCTTAATATTTTGGGAAGGATTATTGTCTGGAGTTATTCCGTGGGGGCTGTCTGTGCCCTTGAAGACCCCAGCCCAAGCCTGGGCTCTGACAGCTCCCAGCCTTTGGGCCTTTGTCACAGTCCCAGGCTCCCGTTCCTGGGTCAGGCTGGAGCTGGAGCCTCCTGCTTCCCCGATGGCGTGGGGAGGATGTTCTCCCTGCCATCCTTTCCCTGCCAGCCTCCCCGACCCATTCCCTGGGGTCTCTGAGTGCCTGGGGAGTAATTTCCCTTGATTGCGGGGGTACAACTGGGTTTCTGTATTTGCCATGCTGCTGCCCAGACTTCTAATTTCCAAACCTATTTGTTTCTTCACAGGCTCGCTCTTTGAATTCTCTTTTCCAGCAGCAGATGAAATTCCAAGTGTTCTTTGATTTTATTTTGTAACTCACCGCCCCTTTGAGTTTGAGTTTGGTCCCATGGAGCAGAGGGTGACAGTGCAAGTGGTGCTGTGGTGGGGCACTGGGGGACAGCACAGGGCCCTCCGTGGCCCCTGTGGTGCTACCAGCACTGCCGTGCCAGTGCTGCCAGGGCACTGCCCTGCATCCCACCACTGCAGCACCGGGAGTGCCAAGATGGATGGAAGTCCCCGACCCCTCTCCTGCCACGTAGGAGATGATGGGGGACAGTGGCAGAGCCCTCTGGGGTGGATGTTGGAGCAGGGCTTGGATGGAGAGGGGAACAGGGACCCCCCCACTCCGTTATGGGGACTTGGAGAATCCCATCGGGCATGTGTCTGGCTAGGCTTGTGCGACAGCGTCGAGCAGTGCTGGAGCTGCTGCTCCCAGCTTGGCCGCGGGCCCGTAGCCCCGTTCGCCCCTCGCCAGTCCCCGCCGGTCGCGGACCCTTTAAGCCGCCGCCATCTTTACTTCGGGCAGGTGAAGCCACCGCCCCTCATTGGCCCGTCCTTTCCCGGGCCGCTCGCGCGCGCTCCCCATTGGCCGCCGCCGCGGCCCTTCCGGCGGCACCGCCCCGGCGCGTCCTTTCCGGTGGCCGTTCGCGAGGCGGAAGGTGAGTGAAGGCCCGGGGCTCCATCCGCCGCCATCCGCCCGCCCGGCGCCGCGGGGGAGCCCCCGGGGGCGCACAGGGGGCCGCGCTGGGTCGGGGGCCACGGGCCCGGGGTGTCCCGGGGGCCAGGCGGAGCCCCGGCAGGGCCACACTAACCGTGCCCGTGTCCGCAGGCCGCAGCCATGGCGCCCAGCCGCAATGGGATGATCCTGAAGCCCCACTTCCACAAGGACTGGCAGCGCAGAGTGGCCACCTGGTTCAACCAGCCCGCCCGCAAGATCCGCAGGTGAGGCCGAAGGGCCCGTCAGGGGGTTCCCGGAGTGTGCGGGGCTGCTGAGGAGGCCAAAGCGCCGTGGGTTTGTCTTCGGCCCTTCTGCGGCCGCGCTCGTTGAAGTCCCGGCTGCTCACTCGGGGTCTGTGCTCAAAGCCGGCCCTTCCCAGCCGCAGCCAAGTGATGAGACGTCTCCGGAATCGCTGCACCACGGTGATGACTCCTTCTACCCTGGGTCTCTGATGGCAGCGGCGGTTCCGGAGCAGCACCAGCCACCGGCGTGGCCCGCTGTTGGTTCCAGGGGGATCCCAGGGCAGCAGTGGCACATCTCGCAGAGATGCTGTGTTCCTGGTGACTGTCCCATTGATGTGACCCAGAAGACCAATTGCACCTGCCTTGTGTGCCAGTGTGGCCACAGGGCCAGGGCAGTGCCTGTCCACCTGTACTGGGCACTGGTGAGGCCACACCTGGAATTCTGGGATCAGTTTTGGGCCCCTCACCCCGACACAGACACTGAGGGTCTGGAGCAGCAGGACTGGCTGAGGGAGCTGGAGGGGCTCAGTCTGGAGAAAAGGAGGCTCAGGGGGGTCCTTTTTGCTCTCTCCAACTCCCTGACAGGAAGGTGGAGCCAAGTGGGGGTCAGGCTCTGCTCCCGAGGAACAAGGGACAGGATGAGGGGAAATGGCCTCAAGCTGTGCGAGGGGAGGTTCAGGTTGGACATCGGGAGGAATTTCTTCATGGAAAGGGTGATCAGGCATTGGAAGGGGCTGCCCAGGGAGATGGTGGAGTCCCCATCCCTGGAGGTGTCTAAGGAAGGCCTGGATGTGGCACTCAGTGCTCTGGGCTGGGTGAAAAGGTGGGGATCAGTCATGGGTTGGACTCAGTGATCTTGAAGGTCTTTTCTAGCCTGATCAATCCTGTGATCCCATGACATTCCAGGAGGAAGGCTCGCCAGGCCAAGGCTCGCCGCATCGCCCCCCGGCCCGTGGCTGGGCCCATCCGGCCCATCGTGCGATGCCCAACAATCAGATACCACAAAAAAGTTCGTGCTGGCAGAGGCTTCAGCCTGGAGGAGCTTAAAGTGAGTACAGAGCATTGATCTAAATAAATGAACTCCCAGTCTGAGCTTGGCTGCTGCTCCTGTCCTGCACAAGGTGACATGCCCAGATGTGGTACCTGGCTGGTGCTGGCTCGTCCTGGGGAGATTGTGGTGCTTCTGGTTCTGGGAGCAAGGAAACACCACTCAAAGGTGTTTAAAAGGTAAACGTCTGGTTGTCTGGTCAGACTCACTTAAAACTCCATTAAAATCAAGCTGAAAAAAGAGAAGTTTAGGTTGGATATACGGAAGAAATTCTTCCCTGTGAGGGTGGTGAGGCCCTGGCACAGGTTGCCCAGAGAAGCTGTGGCTGCCCCGTCCCTGGAAGTGTCCAAGGCCAGGTTGGATGGGGCTTGGAGGAACCTGGTCTAGTGGAATGTGTCCCTGCCCATGGCAGGGAGGTGCATTCGGATGATCCTTAAGGTCCTTTCCAACATAAACCATGCTGGGATTCTATGAAAATTGAATTCTGGAAGAGCCTTGAGTCTCCTAAACTTTCTTAGGGAGGGAGAAGGTTATGGTCTTCATTAAATTACTTTGTTTCTTTATGAAATAACTGTTCTGCTAATCCTAAATATTTTGGCCAACTGTTCTTGTTGCAGATCAAGTAAACTGAGCTCAGCTGACTTGTAAGAGTAGCAGGGGATGTTGTACCAGGAGGAAGGACTGTTCAGTGCAGCCTCCAGGAGTAGCTGGGGCTGTTCTTGTTCCATATTTGGTTTAGAAACACTGAAACTCTCTGAGAAGTATTCCCTGCCCTCCATTCCTTCAGGAAATTGTCCCTGGGACGAGCCCAGGTGTGCTGAGCTGTTAAAGGGTGTCTGCAGGGACCCCCCACTGCATATCTGTGCAGTGGGCAGGAGTCACATCAGTTCTTGCTGGCAGCTACCAGCTGCCTCTGCGGCTGGTTCAGTGTCTAATTAAAACATTTATAACTGAAATTGGTGCACTGAGGCAGGAAAATTGTTCTTCTGGGTACCAAATGCTTCATTACTTACTTTTCTTTAATTTTTGGGTAATGGTGGAACACAAAGCGGGACACAGCTGTTTGTCTTCAAACAGAAAATGAGTTTCTTGTTTAAGATGGTTAAAACAAATAGTTGTTTAATGGAGCTCACGGTATTCAGTGAGCCAGAGTTATCCATATCCTGACTTCATAAATGCTTGTCTGTATGTATCTGAGTTTAAACGTCCCCCTCAGGGGTTGCTCTTTGCTCTCCTGAGAAAAATCCACCTGCAAAAACCAAAGTCTGGGGAACATTTTAAGCATTAAGATACACCAGGACACCCTTTGGTGGTGAAGTGAGTGGTCCTTTAGCCATGCCAAGCCTTCTCCAGACCCTATGTCCCGTGCTGGCTCTGCTTGGAGCCCTGCCTGGCTGTTGGGAGCTGTGGCATGCTGACACCACTCCCTCTCTCCCCTCAGCTCGCTGGCATCAACAAGAAGTTTGCGCGGACGATCGGGATCTCCGTGGATCCCCGGCGGCGGAACAAGTCCACCGAGTCCTTGCAGGCCAATGTGCAGAGGCTGAAGGAGTACCACTCCAAGCTCATCCTCTTCCCGAGGAAGCCAGCCATGCCCAAGAAGGGAGACAGCTCTGTGAGTATCTGGCTGCTGGAATCGTGTCGCAGGGGCTGTTTGTGGCCCCGCTTTGGGAGGTTTAGTGTCATCCCATCCCTCTATCCCGGTGTGCAGAACTCCTGAACCTGTTCCATGATGTGGATGGATGGCAGGGGAGCAGCCCTGCCCTTGGATGCAGCGTGGGTCTGAGCCCAGCGTAAGGCCTGGCCTGGCAGGGTTGAGTGTAACAGGGCTCTCTGGGTCACAGTAATACTGGGTCAGGCATTTGGCTGAGGGGCTGCAGCCCTGGTTTGGGGCAGATTCCCGGCGCTTTGGTCCTTGCCCAGCCAGTTGAGTTTTAGTTTATGGAGCTAAATTGTCAAGAGTAGCTGAAAATTCCACCTGAAAATTCTGTCCAGCCGTATGGAAGGGTGAAGGACAGGCTCTGTGAGTGGCTCCGTGCCAGGCAGGCTCCAGAAGGCAGTTGCTGTTGACATTCAAAAATGCTTTCCATTAGAAGCTCTCCAAGATCAGAGCAGAGCTGTGTTCCTTGGCTCTGCTGGCAGTGGATTCACGCTTCCCGCGGGGCTGAGCGAGCCACAGAACACAGCGGTGTGCTCAGGCTGTCCTCAGATCTTCTGGAGAGCCTGGCAGCTCCAAGCTGCTTAATTGTAGTGGATCCCTCCCTTTTCAGAGCAGGGAGGAAGGGCTTTGATCTGAAATACTGCTTCAGATTTGCTTGCTGGAAATTAAGTACATAAAATAATTTTCAGTCGTTTTTGTCTGATGACACACTTTTACAAGAAGGTGAAATCAGCCTTAGAAGGAGTTGCTGAGGAGTGTGTTGGGTATAAATGAGCTGTGGGGACTCAGCCTGGAGAAAAGGAGGCTCAGGGAGGTCCTTCTCGCTCTCCCTGTAACTCCCTGACAGGAGGGTGGAACCAGGTGGGGTTCAGGCTCTGCTCCCGGGGAACAAGGGGCCAGATGAGAGGAAATGGCCTCAAGCTGTGCCAGGG